CCCCTCAAGATTCTTTTGACTATAAGACTCCAGGTGTCAAGTTCCAAGACCCCTGCTATCTGCCAACTTAGGTTTCGACTTACTTTGTATAACTTCAGTGAACAACAACAACAAAAAAGACAAAGCAAAAAACAAAAAAACAAAAAACTAGGAAATCTAGTAAGTACTCTAAAAGAAAAACTTTTCACTTACCATAAGGAAAAACTTAAAAATTGCTAAAATTTTAATGAAGTCTTGATGTTCAAAGACTATAGTTTGGACTTTTAAAATTCTGAGCAAATAAGATAAAATAAAACAATCATTTCCAAACACTGGAATGATAATAGAATAAGAAAAGATAATTAGGGACAAACATGATTTTTATAATAAAGTGATATATAGAAAATTAATTTGAAATGCTTTCTAATCACAACAAAAAGACTAATTTCTAATAGTACTGATGCTTTTAGAATTATAAACCCAGATTTGAGACAAGAGTAAATTCATACTTCAAAAATTTAGTCACTAAACCATATGAAGTCACTAAACCAAATTTAGTCACTAAACCAAATTTAGTCACTAAACCATATGACGTCACTAAGTTTTTACATTTTGATCTGATTCTTAGTGTTTCTAACAGACAAGAGTGGTCTTTTCTGAAGATTTGTCATCTTAGAGAATCAAATTTAAGACCATCCTATGATTTCAAAGTACACGTATATTCAAGTTATACTTTCTCCCACAGAAATTTTAGATGTAAGACACAAACTAAAACTTATATTTATATTTTCAATGTTTAAGGTAAATTAGCAAAGGCTACTTACCACACAACTCTCACTGTTATCAGTCCTGTGAGGCAAAATGAAAGCTAAGGTATCTAAATTTTCACACTGTAAGGGAGTCTGTGATGTATTTTTACAACTTGTTAGTACAATGAAGAAGTGAGTTGGAATCAGAATTTCTTGATTACGGATCAGTCTGCTGTTTCTGTAAAATATAGCAATATTCACCTTAAGAAAGAAATAACTAGTTTCTTTTTAATGAATACTTCAGTTAAGCATTTTTAATACATCTAAAAATAAAATTCATTCAAATAATCAATTGTATTATAAGAAGTTAGTAATCATAATACCTCAATATATTCTGCCAGACTGAAAGAATTAGAAGACAGTTATATAAACACAATCCAAAGAATTTTTATTCTCTATAGAAATTTAATAAACTGTGAAATTTTTAAAAATTCTACCTTAGCACACTAGAACTGAGACAATAAAGAAAATAATAATGTTTTTGAATACTTACAACCAACATTCTAACACATTATTCATAGTCTATGAAACTCTGGGTAGTTGTAGACAGACAATGTACGGAGAGAAAACTGGTTTGGGATTCTTTTTATTCCATCTCCTTCAGGGAAGCCATATTGCTGTGAATTCTTTGTTTTAACTGAATTTTCTTTCCTAGCCCAATAACTTTATTTTTTATAATTGCAGCATATTCTTAAAGACGTCCCAACTAACACTTTTGCCTCATCTTAATTCTCCTATTTCCTTTGGTCTCAAAGCTAGGTCTGTTTGCTTGTTTTTTCAGCATCTTTCAAAATTAAGGTAGTGAGATCATTGTTTTCAAACATAATTTTATGTAGTACCATAATATATAAAACCTTAAACAGAGAGCTCTGGTTGAAGCTATGAATGGGAAGGGTATAAAGCTCTTTAATTTACCCATTCTACTGCTGTGACTTATGAGACAGTTACGTGGGACCCTTATGCCTCAAGGAATATAGTAAAAAAAAAAAAAAGTGATTTTACAAACTAATGTAGTCACAGATGTATATGTGTATAAATAGTAATCCCCAAGTCAGCCTGGGAGATAAATTCTCAGAAAGGGGCCGAATTTTAACGGAGGTTTCAGTCCCTTTTTCTTGTAGCCTTAATAGCAAAATTGCTTCAAAAAATCTTATAATTACTGTTTTAATAAAGATCAACCATTTTCTAAACTCATCTTCTTTATAAAAAACAGCACCACTGATGGTTTTTTCAAGATGGTCACTTTATCATTTCCCTCCAGCCAGGCTTGGGTAAAAGTTGTGTCATTTACCCAAGGCCTACACTTGGACACTATAGCTTTATAAATCTGTTGACTCCTTGGCTCAAGATACCTCTAGCCACATATAGTTCTTTATCTTCTAACTAGCAGTATGTTAATTAAAATAGTATTTTAGCCACACGTAAAGATGTTAAACATTGATGTTACCTTCTGAACACATAGCAGAGTTCAGTATTTAATCTAAGCTCAAGAATTACTCCTCTGAGCTGAGTGGTAGAGAAACACTACTTCTTTCATCTAAAAAAATATTTTATTGAACACTGAGCAAAACATAAAAACTAATCAGATATTTAAAGGGGCTTCCAGCGTAATCAGAAATGTCGCATATATAAACCTGAATAGTATTAGAAAAGGTTGTCTTGACTCATCTGGATGGCAATCTCACTTGATAGGTGTTGTTAAGAGTAAATGAAATATGTTCTTACTGCTTCAGAGTCTCCGAGGAATCGTAACGTCCATCATAATCAGAGTCGAATACGGGACCGCTGACAACATTGACTCCATTTCTTTCTACAGCATACCTTTGCAGTAGGGTACCATGAAAGTATCGCCATATAACTGAAACAAGAAAGAAGACAGCATAGTTTAGAAAGAACAAGAAGTCATGCTCTCATGTGAAATAAATCAATGCCATGATTCAAAATTAGCATTTGTAATAATTAGAGATTAAGTCTAGTTTGGTTTCGGTCATAGTGTGAGGCCAAACATTCATTGTTCAGCTTTGGCCTTCGCAAGGACTATATAACAAAGTTGACTTGAATTCTATTTCGGACATCTCTGAACATGTATATCACCATGAACTTGTGGTCACATCTCATCATTAAGCATTAAAAAAAAAAAATCACAAACAGAAACAAGGGGCAGGTTATTCAGATTTATTGTTAATATCTGAATATTCTGTTTGAAATAGTCACAAGTATTCTAGATAGAGAGTAAAAATTTCCTTGGATGCTCTATGTTTTAAAATCTCATGTGTCACTTGAAGTAGAAATGTATATTTATTCTTATAAGAGCCAAATGCTGCAATAATTAATAATGGTATAAAATCTGTTCATTTTAAGATCAAAAACAACTATCAGAAACTTGAAATAGTTAAATAGAAAACAGACTGAAAGTTGATGTTAGTAGACTATATTAGCTAGATAACTTAGAACATAACATATTTTTTCCACAAAAAATGTTTATAAACATTTAAATACAAAGCAGTATAATAAATATTGTCAATCAAATCTATAAGAAAGTATTGAATATTTAGTCATTTAATTTAGAGCATCAGTCTTATACATATAAATTATACTATAATATACAGAAATTCATTGAAATTATGAGATAAAGGGTTAAAATTTTTTACCTTGAAAACTCTGGTACATTGGCACTATATTAGTAGTAAGCAATGCTTCAGAATATATTTTACTTGAACCTTTATTTAAAAGTTCTACAAAGAAAATAAAAAGGACAACTATTTCATTCACAAATAACATTAGAAATTATACTTTCTCATGGGGGGAATTTTAAAAAAATTAGCTGAGTGTTATCCTAAACCCGTAAAACTTTCCCAGGTATTGGTTCGAGGAGATACATTATGTGTTTGGTCCAGTCCCTTAACAAAATAATCATTTAGATCTTTTCTTCTTCAAGATAAATTTACCAAAGACAAAAACTTTAATAAGCAGGGCCCCAAATTAAACATATTCAAATTTTATGTTATTTGCCTTATTTCAAGTAAAGTATATATTGTGTTTAAAATATTCTTTCCTTAAACTCTTTCACAGTGAAAAACGAGAATATCTGGCTTCAGAACAACACCTACTACCCAGAAAAAAACATCACAGGATGTCTGCTTGGAAATGCTGTACAAGGCTTCTTTGTATGGATTTTCGGCTTGGGCTTCATCTATTTTTATAATGCAATAGCCAAGTTCTGACTTCAGACACCCACTCTGGCGACTGGACTAGATATTTGAGCACCTGGAGCCTTCTGATTTTTGCCTTTTTAGGGCAGTCTGAATACATGTTCTCATTAACATATAAATTTGCCACTTTAAAAACAGAACATTTAACTTCAAAAAAATAAATAAATAAATAAAGCCATTCCCTAGGGGCTCGTATTGGTGAAAGAACAGGCACATTTAAGTTCTACCTTTACCTAATTCTTTGACAAATTACATTTTTCTTTTTAAACTACAAAATGACATTCCTTCCTAATAACTCTGATGCATCCATCTGACTTCGCTGAGTTTTCTCAAATTCTGTTTAAAAGAAATGCAGAAAACTGAAGAATGTCCTATCTACAGTGTCTGGGTTAAGTCAACTATTCTTCAAACCAAAGTAAAAAGTTTTCTAAAACTCAAATTTTAGACCTAGCTTTAAAATTTGCCCCAGTAGTTATATTTCTTATTCACAATTTTCATCCATAAATAAACGAAATGATGTACATTGCCCCATAAAAAGAAAAAGAAAAGGAAGAAAGAGGATAAGAGAAAGGGAAGGTCAGAAAGGAAGAAACTTACGTGGTGGGGAGAGGAACCCATAACTCAGTTTAGAATTATTTTTATAAAATGAACATTTATGGACAGGACTAAGAGAAATTCGAAGATCCTGGTAAAGGCAGTTGGAAAAGTCTCCTGCAGAGAAATTGTCCTGAAGAACACAATGAAAAGAACCATTAAGTATCAAGCGCACAGAAGAAAAGACAGCTTTGTAAATAGTTAAAGGTGAACTGCATCATAGAATTATGGCTCTCTAGTTGTCTGCTCATTGTCTTTCACCTTTTTTCCATTTTTCTACTAGTGTATTCATCTTTTTTTTTTCTAACTGAAGTTCAAAACTCTTTACAGTATTAAGAATATTAATCATTTGTCATGTGTGTAACTTTTTTCTAATATGTTGTATTAATTTTGTTAATTTTTTTTTTCACTCAATTTCAAACTTTTATATAGGGAATTGCTGAGTTTTAGAGATCTGAGACTATCTTCCATACTGAACTACACGACTAAAAGTTTGTAGGGGAGGGGAGTAAAAAAAGACAATGAATAGCAATATAATATGAAAACCTCGGGAGTAGTGATGACTCCGAATTTTTGCAGCTTTAATTACATAAGAAAACTGAAAATTCAAACAATCAAAATACCATAATTGAGGTACTAAACAACAATAAATAGGATGGGACCTACGAAAACTGTGTAGCATGCTGTATATTACAAAGTCAAGTAAAAAAGTGTTTACTGTTTTTTTTTTAATTAAGTTTATTGGGGTAACATTGGTTAATACAACTGTTTGAATATAGTCTGAAATTTATAATTGTGCGTTTACCACCCAAAGTCCAGTTTCCTTCTGCTACTATATATTTGATCCCCTTTACCCACTTCGCCTTACCCTTACCCCCCCCTCCTATATTTGACCCTCTTGCGAGAACTTGTTGTGCTGATTCTATCTTCAAGTGAGATTTCTTATAAAAATTTAGGATCACTTCGAATCCTTCCTTTTTCAGTTTTACTGCTTTTAGATGATTGCACATTTGTTCAAATTGAAATTGATAGAATTGTAAATCTCAGGATAGTACTTCTATGAGTATAGATTGTTCATAAAATAGGATTTTTATGAATAAATTACACTACTTAGGTAACGTAAGTATTGTATTTTAGTTTAATTAATCTGTCCACCAATACATAAGGGATAAGAATTATACAT